CGGCTAAAATAAAGTAAAACCTCTCAAACACACTCAAGAAATGTACACCCAACCACATGTTCTTGCATGTGATAGGGGTTAGCTCTGAAAAGCCCCTTTTTCTCAGCAATCTCAAGCAATTTTCAGTATTTCAAGTTACTGTACCTCCTGTATCTGGTGATTCTGATTTCTGGATTCTGATGGTCTTGATTACTTCCCTTGGACCTACATTGGTTTAAATGTATTTTGCTGGTGTGTTGGTGTGGTTGGGTTGCAATATATTAGTTTCATTAGCAAATCACCATTTTATTCTTTGACAATCAAAGGTAACTGCGAGTTAGTGCTCTCATTTCCTGTGTGACTCAGCTTCTTTATGTGTCAGGCTAGTGGTTAACAACACACATTTGAAGACACACAACACACCCACATATATATATAATTATATATATATATATATATACACCTTTAAATGTTCAGCTGTTTTCTTTCCTGTATTAGCAGCCTAACTGCTGAGTCTGCATCACTCAACACAAAAGGCTTGGTGGCTTTGTGTTTGTGTATATCACGCACAGGAAGCGTTGAGGTCGTGATAAGCCTTCCACCATGGAAGGTCCAGGAGCGATAGGTCGGAGGTTGGGTGATGCAGCAACAAGGCCTGCTGTGATGGGAAATTAGCCATCATGGGATATTTTCCATGACGGCACAGATGGCACACATCATATCCCCCTAAACTCCCCTAATATGTAATATAGCATGTAAAGACTCAGCACTGACTGTATAGACAAAGAAGCCTTTTAAAACTACGAGGGCAGCTGTAACAGTGCAGCTGCTTTGGAGGCATCTATCTATGTGATGTCATCCAGTCAAAGGTCACCAGTGAAGGTCATTTATGGTCAGTAAATGTCAAGCTGTAATAGAAGAGGATGTCTTTGTGTTGTGCCCAACACTCAGAATGAGACAGTCTTTATTACAGACTGTTTCATTCTTTTTTTTTTTACAGGAAAACAACAAAAGATGAACACTACCATGTTTTTCCCCAAGGAAATTCCTGTATGACATTCCCAGTGAGAGTTATCCATATTGTTTTCCCTGAGGAGCTGGTGCACATTGGGCTCTCTTTCTCACAATTTAGTGTTGAATGGTAGCTTCCCCCCTCGGCCCTCCCTCCTCGTCTCCCTGGCACAGGCCCCCTACTCGCCCTCGACTGGTAGCACGGAAGGAAAAGCTGCCGCGCCTGCCAATGATGTGTGTGCTATTTGTGTGTGTTTGTGTGTGTTAGTCCGCTGCTGAAGCCACTGCTGCTCATGAGTGACCCCAGACCTTTGTAAGTGGAAACGGCAATCCACTTTTACAGTGGACAGTAGTTTCCACTTCCTGTCCACCCCTGCCCATTTTCCTGTTTGACATATGAAGTCATCAGGATTGCAGGAAGTGATTTCTTTCTTTTACTCTCTATTTTCTTTCGCCAGAGTGAGCTCACAGTTGATGTAAAACAAAAATTCACCCTGGCATAATTTAATAGAAGATTAGCCACGGTTCTCTAAATTTGACTGTCAGGTTACAGTGAGCTATACTAAGATCACTTCCTTCAGACAGATTACTCAGTGTTGCTTGTTTAGGATTGCACAAAGTCTGGCGGAGAGAGGAGTTTCTCATCATGGCTTTATGAAGTAATGCAGCATTCACAATTACACTTTGCGCCAGCACGCAGCTCCCCTGCAAGCACATGAACATGTGGGTGCATATTCACATGTTCACACACCTGCCATATTTTTATCCAGACTGTTTCCAGATCCAGTTGCTTTGTGGAACAGACTTCAAACCCTTACTGAAGTTGTCTGGCGCACAAGTCCAAATAACCATCTCCATATTTGGTTTGAGCAATCAGATCCAATCTTTATTTAGTTAGGAATAATTTTTGTCTCTGATTCTTCATTCTTCTCTGTGTGCTGTTCGCCTTCTGTTTCCTCACCTTGCTCTCCCTCTCTGTCTCCACCAGGTGTTCTACGTGTCAGACTTGTTTAAGCCTCGGGTGAAGCCAGCCACACCCCCGCCCTCCCCCATCAAGAAGGAGCTGCTTCCTTCATCCGACATCATTGACAGAAACAACCACCACAACATGGTGTGAAAGAGGCCACAACGTCTTCCTGTGACTGAGGAGCCAATCCCAGCGCTGCTCACCTCCCATCGGACAGTAGAATGTAGCGACGAGAGACTGTAGCTGCTTCTCAAATGGCATCCTCCTCCCTTTTTGCAGTGCCCAGCGAGGTGCTTTGTGGACTAGGGTGTCAGATTTGAGATTTGCACAGCAGAGTCCACTCTCACTATCCAGACTTATTATTTACTATTATGTTAACTACTAATCAACATTTGAGCCCATCATTTTGAGCACAAGCAGAAAAGAATTGGAAGCTAAAAGACAAAACGAATTAAGAAATTGATGACTTGACAGGCAGAGCTGAGGGTGTGGAGGTTTGATGGAAGTGTAACCACAGAAAGGAAACTTTTGAAGAAAAAGAAATGAAGAAAAGAGACAAAAAAAGACAAACCCCCTGCCTAGGGAGAGAGTGATGCTTCCTCTCTGAACTCTCTGTGGCCTTGGAACGCCGTAGGACAACAACTTCCTTAGCTACAGGAAGGATATTACTGCAATAACTAGCAGCATAGAAATATTAACAGTATAGAAAAATATAACTTATAGCACTGTTTTTAAGTTCATTGTCCATTATCACCACTTGCTGCCTGAGATGTCTAACTGAAAGAAAACTTGATGATGCTGACACCCACGAGACAGAAATATGAACTCCTAGAAGCCGACCGAGCCTGGTGTGGTGGTTTCCCTCCATACTCAGGCAGGATAATGTTAACATAGAATTTAATAACAATAATCCTGTACCAGTAGGCCGCTGTAAGGATTGTATACTGATCTTCTTAGGCCTTTTATCAGGTTTCAGAGCAGTACTTTGGCTGTCGCTTTAACTTTTTTGACTGATCCACACGACATCAGTATCCCAATAACAGAAAGAAATAAAGCCCTGCGACTTCATATAACTCTGTCTCGGCATTAGCACGTCAAGATTTTTGTTGTGGACTTTCAGAGCGGCCCAAACCCGGGATGTTGCATTTCTTGAGGGTTAGATGTAGTAAAGGGGGGATATTTTCTGTGGAAGGAGGGAGGCAGATCTCGCAGCCTCCCAGCACCTGTATAAGAGGCGTGGCTGTGCCATGCCACTTCCTGGTGTTGGGGCCATCTGTTTGGCTTTCTAAACAGGAAGGGGATGGGTGGGCAGAGTGAAGGGGTGCGGTCTGTCACCGTGGAAAGAGGGTGATGATTTACAGCTAAGCTGGCACATTATTTTGGGATGATTTGGGCTCTTTCCGCTGGAAGGGAGGGGCTCTCACCCACCCAATCACTCATTGGCAATAGATGTTTGTCTCTCAGTGTGTGTGTGTGTCCTGTACACTCTTGTGCTTGTGTGGGTACACTTGTGCTTGTACATGTACATCTTATGTGTGTTTGAATGTGTTTACATATGTATGAGCGCTGTGCCCTGTGAAATGGAACCCCTTCTTGATAAACTATGTGTGTCATGAAACACGCACACTGTCAGCTGTGCCAAGTGTGTGTTTTTGTGTGTGTGTGTGCCACTGTGTCAGAGAGTGAGAGAGCAGGTGAATGTTATAAAAACTGTGGATCTAATATTTTTTATTCTTTGCTAAAAAGCATCTTTAACCTTGTATGTTTATAGCCTGTCCTGTATAATCACTAACAATTGTACAGATACAGATGCCCTTTTTATTTACAGCCTACTCAGAAATCCTCCTCCAACAACACACTCCGCCATGTTGCACATCTTTCTCATCGTATAGTCCGTCCTATCATTTCACAAAGCCGTTTTCACACTCTTTTTATAAATATATAAATAATGTATAGATCACTAAAATTAACTCTGTAAGATATTGTTTCTTACCATGTTTAGATATATCCACTATCATTACAGACCTGTGTTCTTTACAAAATGCTGCTTAAAAAGCATCAATTGACAGATTTTTGTATTTAGATAACTAAACTATTGTAGATTGTTACAGTTATGTTTGTAATATGCATTCAAAAACAAAAAACACCTACAATTGTATTAAAATTCAATATTAGTATTTTTGTATTGTCTCGTTTTTTTGTACAAAGACATAGTTGCAATGCTGTTTTTTTCTGCTAAATGTACTTAGCTCTAATACATGTGCTTTTAAATAAAAAGCTCAGTATGAACACAACTTTGGTATGCGTTGACTGTTAATCCTGAGGTTTGATGATGGGTTGATGGATTTTTGTTGTAATTGTTTGCTCCTGGAAATGATCCTTTTGTTTTCCACAAGAAAATATAAAAACTGCACACAATGACGACAATCACTGGTGGAATGTGCATTTACTCACTGTATTTAATTACACATTTAAGGTACTTCAATTTTATTCTCTTATTACCTCTGGTCCACTATATTTCAAATGGATTGAACACAAAAATAGATGAATGATATAATAAAACATTATATGATAACATACATTTGGCACATTTTGGTGATATATCTGTACTTTTTCTTAATTAAGATTGTACTGCAGAATTTGACTTGTCTAAATGAGTGCTGATTACTGTAATGTAACATATCAAAGCTGGAGAGGAAACACACTATTGTAACGGCCATCATGGCCATAGTTCCTTTTGTCAAAACTACCACATCAAAGTGTACACACTGAAAAGAGCTCATAAGTGTGTGATTTCACACCTTGGCAGACACCAGACTAGAGGAGCTGGCGTCATCGCACGTGTGTGTGTGTATTTTAAAGCAAAAGAGCAGAACTGAACTTCCACTATGGTTTGTCATTTGGCCCTAAACGAGAAGTGTCATTTTCTCCATCACAGCATGTTTGAACTGAGGAGAGAAAAGCCTGAATGACACTTCTCTGTCATTTCAAGTGTTTATTGGCTTTCTTACAAAAACAATGTTAAATCCAAAAGCTACACTGTAATTATGCCCAACGCACCATTTTAACTGCATGTCCACATAACAATATTCAATACTTAATGTACATATATTTAAGAGTTGTGTACCTAAAAATCTAAAATTCTAAGCAGATTTGTAACATGGCCAAGAAAGAACAGATGTTTTTCAGTAGTTTTCATGCAGGCTTGACATGAAAAAGAAGAAAAGAAAGGTTGAGTCAAAAAGGAAGTAAAAAAGAAAGAAAGAATACCTCAGAGCCTCTAGCAGTGAATGACTGGTTCATGCTGTTGAGTTAAGAGGTAATCATTTAGGGCAATCATTTGTCTGGTGTTATCATAATAGTGGCATGCATGTTTCCCCTCAGTGTCCTGTAAAGTGCTGTCTTTTATTGACAGTGACAGTACAGATGGTCTGAGGTCAGTTGTAAAAAAACAGCACCAAACTGAGATTTACGGTGCCTGTGAACAGCTGGTAGGCCTGGGGTCAGCCATGCATGGCTGTAATAGTACAGGGCCCGCTGCTGAGGCAGAGAGAGGCCCATGTTGTGGTCTTGTTTGGCAGCAGCAGAGCAGAGCTGGCACAGGGCCGTCACACGGAGGCCAAAGCATTACATAGTGCTGTACCTCTCTCAGTGTGCTGGGTGTGTAGCGTTCATCATCACACACTGTACAGTACATCCACTTGGTCTGTTTACTCTCATTTATTACTTTACATGAAGCTGATGTTTCCTTCTTCTGAGTGTCCAAACCTGTGTAAAAAATTCAAATGCTAGTTCCTGTTGGTATGTGAAAACCTCATTGGTGATTTTGACATTTTAACACAAGTTGAATGGATTACATCCTCCTCTGTGGGCTGAGAATTTCCTCCACCCTTGGTCTTATAAAAGCCTTTCAAAACCCTTTTGGATAAACTCAGAAATGCACCGTGGTCATGTTAAGAACAAGGCTGATTTTCCTTAGTTTACATTTTGAAAATACACCACACACCACTGACACAAGAAATTATGCAAATGTGACATTAGAATATGCATCATCATTGAGCAACACAGTTTATTAGACTGAATTTTGATGCACTTGAATGTAGAAAATAAAGTGTCATTTGACAGCTGGTGAGTGTCAGCAGCAAGTTAACCCCGTTCTGCTCAACTGGACTTTGTTAGGGATTCCAGTATAATTGCTGTGGAAAACCTTTCCTTTCTGAAAAGAAGCCTGACAGATTGATAGTATCCACATGCCATCTACTGAATGACTGCACAAGGACATGGGTGAATATCACACTCTGAAAGCAATAAGTCTGCAAAAGGTATGTCATAAGCAAGAATGTAGAAGCTAGATTTGGCAAGTGTGAAAGAGTAATTATAGTTTATATTTAACTCTATGTGGTAGCTCAGAATCAGCATGTGTAAAAGTGGTTAGAGTGGCTCTCAGCTGGCAATCAAAAAACAAGGCTGAGGAACAGACTTCTTTTCTTGCCATGTAGCGGTTGTAGTCAAAAAGCAAATGGCCCACTGGCACACATGATATAAAAAGCATCACGGCCTAACAAGAGTGCTACTGTAGGTGGCTCTGGTTTGGCTTGAATGCTGCATGTGAGAGAGAGAGAGAGAGAGAGCTGGGTTGTGGCAAGGGTGGCATCTCCAGGAGAGCCGCCTGGAGGCCTGGAGCTCTAAGGGTCTTTTCTCTGCAGCACAGTCCAGGGAGTGGAGAGTCAGCTGGGCCCGGGGAAGCACACAGACTCGCCAGAGTATAACCAGAGGAGTAGAGTCTGGGCAAGGCTTTGCACTTCCTTTAGGGAAATCAGAGCAGAAACTCCCAGCAGTCAACTGTTTACAGTAAATCAGTGTCTGTTTTGCAGGTTTTTAGCATACATGAGCTATGTAGACATAATGTGACCCACCCACAGGACACAAAAAAGGAAAAAAGTGTGCAAGAAAGAAAGAAAAAGAGAAAGAACAGGTTTCATATGGGTCATTATTTTGCAGGTTTTAGTGCCCCACATTCCAAATGCTGATTGAAATGTTTTCCATCCAGATAAAAATGTACAGAAACGTAGATATTGATGGATGAAATGAGTAATAAAGAACAACAGCTTCTTCTAGCACCTGTATATGCTGCACTGCTCTGTCAGATAGGATGCACAGAGCAGCCGTTACATGAATGAAAAGAAGACTGATAGTATTAACCCAGTTTTTGGTAAATCTACTATATTATATTCACATCTCTGATTAAAATAGGGACATGGTGGGGTGTTGGATGCCAGTATCAGTCAATGAGCACATGTGTAAGCAGCAGGAGGATTAATATTTAGGATTAATGCCATGCTTTTATGATGATGATCCTGCATGAGAACACTATGTCTTTGTCTCAGTAAGGGAAATATTCTGGTGCTTTTTGATATGAATGAAATCTCAATCCAGTGAGTGTAAAATGGAGTTAGACATCAATCTTATGTTCATTGTGACAGAGAGGAAGACTGGATTAACCTATTTCTTTTGTTCTGATTTGAATTTGTGTGTGTAATCAGTAAGTAAGTAACGGCAACAAGAAATGTTCAACAACTATTGTCTGTATTGCCATTAAACTTTGTACAAATATTCATGATCCCCAGGGAATGAATCCTACTGGCTTTGATGATCCCCTGAAGTTTTCATTTATCCAGTAAAACATTTTAATATCTACTTAACTTGTACAAAAATATATACAGACATTCATGGTTCCCAGAGGATGTACCCTAATTCTTGTGGTGATCCCACGACCTGTTCTTTTAGTACCACCATAAAGTTCATAATTGTGGTTTTAAAGGACCAGTGTGTAGGATTTAGTGACATCAAGCGGTGAAGTTGCAGATTGCAACCAACTGAATACAGCTCACCCTTCCAGACATGTGGGAGAAACTATGGTGCTCATGAGGAACGCAAAAGGCCTTGTTGTTTTGCCTTGATGTTTTTCCAATTGGTGTTCTAGTTTCAGAATTGTAGTTCTATTCTCTCTTAATATTTATAATTGGAAGTTTGAATGTTTTTGATTAAATGACATCCAGTCCAAAGTTAATGATTGAAGTTTAAGAGCTGACTCATTGTATCTATACATTTATAGCTCAAAGCAGAGTAATCTTAAACAGACCTCTAGGATTTGCAGTTCAAGAGTCTTCTTGTTTCTGAAATGTAACAACTGCATGTATATAAAAACTAATAGCCCACTCCACTTCTGTGTGACATAGTGTCTGTGCATGGGTGGTGAGCTCGATGGAAAAAGAGGGAGAGGAGAGTGAAGGATAGAAAGTTAATAAATTTCACAGATGTTGGCTGTACGTGGGGGCAACAGGTGATTATGTCATCTTCACATAAATGGCCTCTGTGTCCACCTACTCTCTCGCTCTCTATTTCTCTCACGTTCACGTTTGTCTCCAACGTGCCTTACAAAGCCCTGTTTATCAATTACTATCTGCTTGTGCGTGAGGTTTCGGCTTTATTCACAAACTTTAATCCTCTTCTTTTCAGTTTGAACAATATAAACTCGTCCTACATTATGTTTCACCTCCTTGTGTGACTCCCTGTATGGAAAAGACATCTCCTTCCTCTCATCAGTCCCCTCATGGCTCATATGGAGGAATGGACAGGTCTGAAAAGCAGCACAGGGATTGGTTGCTCTGAAGTTTTTACTAGACATGATTTCTACAGATGCAAAATGTTAAAAAAAAAAAAAAATGTATTGGTGGTTATTTTCATTGTTTTGTTCCGAGACAGAGATCATCACATCAAACATCACAACTAGTTCAAAAACATAAAGGGGAAAAACCTGATGACATCTTGACCTTTTCAAATGCACGCACATACACACAGTCATCATTTCCACTGATGCAGTCAGACACATCTTATGCAGAGTGAATATTTCTCAGCTTTCACCTGTCTAGTTCCTTTAGAGGGGATGATGGTTTGGAGAGATGGAGAAGAAAGGGGGAGGATGAAGGGAGAGCAGTGAGAGGTGAGGAGGAAATGGGGTTAGACGACTGCGACACAGACCTCTGTGATCCTTTAAATGAACAAAATGGAGTTAGGCAATCTCTCTCCCTCTTCCCACTCTTGCCTTCTTTTCTCTCCAAGGTTGCCAAAGGAAATTTATACAACCAAACTTGCTTAAACCCCCATGGTTCACCTGCTCACGCAACACTGCACTCAAACCCACAAACACATATTGGTCCCACATGCACATACACAAACAAAACACACACACACACACACACACGTGCGCGCGCACACACACAC